ACTGCGACCTCTAGTGCAACACAGCAGAAATTCGTTTTTAAACATATTTGTACGAGTCACTGGTACATTTAGAAAGCTTTATTCTCACAAAGTAGCTACTTTCACCACCACACAGTTGGTTCATCTAGACACGCCATTCATGTCAAATAATTGCATTGCATAAAACCGTTGATTTATTTTAACATCTCGCTTTGAATCTAGTGCGCTCACAGCGCCCTCTAGTGTATGAATCATGTAACCCCATCCGACGAACGAAGAGCTGGTCGCTATTCAGAGGTCAGATACAGGTTTGGAAAACCTTGAAGGTGAGTAAAGATGACACGATTTTCATTTTTGAGTGAACTATTCATTTAATTATTAAAAAAGCACAGTTTGGAGAATGGGCAAGTTACACAGGGTCAAATAGTGTTATTCCAATCCATCATCACACATTCATGTTCATTCAGAAAGAGAGAAAAATTATTGTAAATGTAAACATTAAAGCACTTCATCTCAAACACTACTTTACTATGACATACAGAGATTTAACGAATATAAATACAGGATAAATAATAACAATATTATAATGGTTCGGAATGATCATGACACTGAAGACTGGAGTATTTAAAAAATCAGAAGAAAATGAAAATGAAAGAAAATGCAGCTTTGCATCACAGGAATGAATATTCATATAGAAAACAGACATTTTAAATTGTAATAAAATTACACAATGCTACTGTATTTTAATCAAATAAATGCAGCCTTGGTGAGCACAAGAGACTTCAAAAATATTTATATATAAAAAAAACGTAATTATTCCAAACTTGTGTCTGGCAGTGTATATTTATAGTCTAATGATTATGTTGTCAAAAAGAATTGCCAGCTTGTCCGATTTAATGACACCACATCCAATTTATAGGCCTATTAAATACTCATTCCTCCTCTGCAAAAACCACTTAGTTTACATTTAGCCTCTTTATTGTCTCTTTAAACAGCTGCACTCCTTTTATGCTTTGCAGTAGAGAGAATTTCCTTTTCAGAGATCCGAAAACTCACCATACTATAATGAACAACAAACAGATACTACAATAAACACATCTTTCTGTATTTATCATTTTAAATGGAGTTAAAATTATACTTACCTGATCACTTACCTCACTTATTTGTTGGCCTTGTCTTTGGGTAGGACAGTAGAGACAGTAGAGACAAACAGGAAAGCAGGGGAAAGTGGGGGAATCGGATCAGGAAATGACCCAGGCTGGATTTGAACCTGAGTCCCTTTTTTGGCCTTATTTTTTGGGTAGGACAGTAGAGACAGAGAGAAAATCAGGGGAAAAGGGGGTCAGGAAACCAACAGCTCTGATGTGACTAGACTAGACCATCATTTATTATGATGTACCATGTAGAAATCGCGGTCCGAGGGGACCTAGATTTGACCGAAAGGGCACTTTAGTGTGCACACAACTGCTATTATTTGATTATATTTTTTGGCTTTTAGTGAAAATGGCCAGATGGAAGCCACTGTTCTCAATCAAGAAGGATATTGTTAAAATAGCTAATTCTGTTCAGTTAATTTTGCATTTGGACTGATTTTGCTCAAATGAAGGATGTGAATGGTATCAAGGTCCACTTAATTATTTCAAAGCACGTATGACCACAATGCAGAATGTAAAGTGCTGTGGCTGGTCAAGGAAGACTTGTGAGACTTTTGACGAAAGGATGAAAATCACCTGAAAGTGGGACCACCTAAAACAGCTTCTAAAGACCTGAGACATGCTATTGAGAGGAACCTCCAATTTCATCTTGAACTGCAAGCCAACAGCTACAAGAGGCTGAATTTAGAGGTGATGTACCAGTAAAGAAACCGTTTATTAATTTTATCTACTGTAAAAGACACTTTGCAATTGGCAACGAAAATAAGCATTGGAGTATGAAAGATCAGAGACTGTTTAACAACCTGGTGTCAGGTATGTTCGTAGGAGAAGACTGAAGTGTTTTAATAACAAATGCATGCATGGCCCCATTAAGCATGGCAGGGAAAACATAATGGAACCGGGGATGCATGTCTGCAGCAGGTGTTGGAAGGATCTATAAAGTTGCCAGCACTTTGAAAATGGACCAATACTTGAGAAACCTGCTGAACACAATGTAGCCAAGTATGGAGGATCTGGTTGGAGATCAAATGTGTATTTTCCAACATGATAACGATCCCAAACATGCCGCACATGCAACAAAGTTGCGCACAGTGGAAGTGTTCATGCTCAGCATGTGTCCCTGCACTGTAAAAAATGACCGTGAATTTAACGGTAAAAGACTGTAAAAATGCTACAGTAAAAACCTGTTAAATGGTTAACGGTAAATTCCCCTACTATATACGGTGAAAAACTGTATTGGACATTACATGTATTGGACATAAATTTTACGGTAGTATACCGTTTTTGGAAGTGAAAAATACCGTATCATTCACAGTGAATAACCATAAATTGACATTCCCAGAATTCGCTGCGTTACATTTCTATTTTTATGTCTTGTTGTTGAAATAACTGTTTCTTCTTAGTTTTTTCTTATCAGTTTTGTATATTAGGGTTGTGAAAAATTGTACAGAATTTTTTTTACAGTGTGACCTTACACCCATTTAAAACCTTTGGGAAATTATAAACCCGTGTTGTGAAAAGTCATGAAGGTCTTCCAATGAAGCTCAACCTTGGGATAAACTTAAGCATGCATGTGCAGTTAAGTGAGACAATGCCCGGGAGAATGGCTGCTGTAATCAAAGACAAGGGAGAACCAACAAAAACTGATTACATTGCACTCAATGCTTTATCTTCTGTGAGCTTTTAAAATATATATATATATATATTATTTATTTTATTTACTAATTTATTTATTTTTGCATACTATAAAATCTATCCATGATTTGCCTTTTTTGCCAAATCATTTTGTCCTTTTAATAACTTGTTTTAGCTTGTTAATAACTTGTCTTATTTAGTGTGTTCTTCATCCCAATTTAATTTTGATTATTTATCTGAACCTGAAGTGTCATTAAAAGCAAATATGGTGTAAATATCCTCTCCAGACATCACTTTTGGCCACTACTGTATATATAAAGTATGATCTTGCTGATTTTTGTTCAAATGCGTTATAGACAACAACGTGTTCACCGTGTTATAGACAACAAATAAAGGTTTTCTTCAGATGTGACGTGAATGTATTTTCTTGGATTGAAATATATGAAGGGTAAAATATATTTTTCAATGCTTTTAAAAAATATGCATTTGAAAAAGTACTCAAAATATATTTGCTATAGAAAATACTTACAAACATATTTTGAAACATTTTAGCAAATTTATTTTTGTATATTTTCCATATATATATATATGTGTGTGTGTGTGTGTGTGTGTAGTTATTATTATTATTAATATAATAGAATCGGTGAGAATCGGAGCCAATGAGAGGACAGGACTCTCTTGCTGTAGCAAAGGAAGACGCGTCCATGTAACGGGACTCCTCACATCTGCGTTTACTGCCATCAGACACAAAGCTCATGCGCACGGAATCGAGTGTAATATCAACTTTAAGGTAAAAGCGACATTTTATCTCACGCATGTATTGGGTTATTTGGACTTGCTCGAGCAATCACTCGTGGTTGAATAGTGTGAATAGTTCATATCTTTAACATGTACACTGTCGCAGGCTTCAAGCTAACGCGACCCTTCCTCGAACGACAACGCTTCCGTTGGGTTATGATAAATATGAACGGACTGTTTTTTAATAGCCGACACGACGAACGTTTCCAGGCTTTATGACTGGAATTGCTGAACACTGTTTTGGCTTGACTTTAGGCGCATATGCTGCACAAACACGGCTAGGCTAAGCGAGTCTCTTTTCTGTTTCTCGCTCTCCTCAGATGCAGTTTATGCTGCTCTTCAGCAGGCAGGGGAAGCTGCGGCTGCAGAAATGGTACGCGCCGCTGTCGGACACCCAGAAGAAGAAGATCTCCCGGGAGGTCATTCAGATGGTGCTGGCACGCAAACCCAAGATGTGCAGTTTCCTGGAATGGAGGGATCTGAAAATAGTCTACAAAAGGTTAGAAACCCGGACTGCATGGAAGGAACTACAGATCCATTGTGTTCGGCACTTTCCATGAATATGGTAGACTTGGGTGTTCCCGGACCTTTAAAAAAAAGCATTAAAGGCACAAATTCCACGTTTTGTGTGTGTTTTGAGACATATTCTATATATCTGATAAACTGTTATCTTACTAACCCAATAAGAAAAGCTGGTAGTAGCTAGTTTTAAACACTTTTAATGTTTGAATCACCCCTTTAAAATGCTGAACATGGTCTGTCCCACATTAGAGCTCTTGACCTTCTCAACTACTCGACATTTAAAATGACAATGTTAGTTTTGATATGTTGAATTCATTGTAGTGAAGTGCCTTGGTTCCGGAAGTATTGTTTTCCAATACATTTTTCCATAGGGATTTTTAAAAAAAAACAGTTACAAGCTATGAACCAAACCAGCCAGCTACGAGGAGAATCACAACTTCAATTTGAAGCAAAAAGTATTTGAAAACCAGACAAGACTGTGTATTTAACAGCTTCAATGAGGGCAAAAAAACACAATTCTATGAATCATGATGCAAATGACATTACATCCTATAGTTTCTCACCAGGGATTCTGCTGTTAAACACGATTATTTAAAAAATAAGTTGAAATAATGTGGGCTGATGGCTTCAACAAAAGCATATACCATCAATTGGATTTTTACTTCCACAACCTAACTTTTGCTCTTTGTATTATATTTAAGTATTGTCATATTATATTTGTGTACGGTTGAGGGGTTTTAAACGTCAATGTAAGTTTCTACTGTCAATTCTCAACTTTTGGTCTATTTTGGTCATTATTGCCCATTGATATTGTCAACAAGTGAGATGAGAATGACTGCTTGGGACAAAATGATCCTGTTTTTGATGGTTTGTAATACTGTGTAGCTTTGCACTGCGGCCAGACAGAAGGAGGAACAGAGAAAAGCATTTCATTTTCTTTGTACTGTTTGTATTTGGTGAGCTTATTTTGCTTTTCAGATATGCCAGCCTGTATTTTTGCTGTGCTGTGGAGGACCAGGAAAATGAGTTGATAACCCTGGAAATCATCCACAGATACGTGGAGCTGCTGGACAAATATTTTGGCAGTGTGAGTTTTATGTCAGCATTTGCTTTTAAACCTTAATAAAAATTGCAACTCTTTCTCCATTTACTGCCCTTTCATTGTTCCAAACCTGTATGACAATATGACTCCAAAAAGTACAACAAAAAAAAGATTCACCATAACGTAGTGCTGCATTTAATCGTGATCACTATTTCTTCTTCTCTCGATTTATTAAGCATATAATTGTCTGTGATATTTGCCAACTGGCTATTTATACTGAAAAGTTTCATTTTAATTTGGCATTTGCTTGATCTAAGCCTCCACAAGCTTTCATGTTTGGTGTTGCCAGATATCAAGACCTTAAATCCCCCAATCAGGGCTTCTTCATAAATGAATACATTTTCTTCCCAGAGTTTTACTTAATATTCCCAACCTGGCAACCATGCACACATGATCGCTCTACATTACAGAAAAAGTGCTGAAAACATAAGTTGGAGTTTAGCGATCTTTATTAAAATAACCAGCTCAAATAAAAGTGTAATGCAGCCAGTCTGTTTTCTTTCATATGGTCGTTTGTGCTTTTTGCTGCGACTAAATCTGCGAGCAAATCATGCGAGTTGATTTCGCGCTCATGTGAAAGTGCAATGATTCTGATTAAATGTAAAAAAGAGAAAAGAATGACAATAGCTGTGATTAATAATCATGATTATATTTTTGAGCAAAATAATCGCGATTAACCGTTTAACCATTATTGCGCTATTGTATTAAACCAATGACCATTGCTATATTTAAGCTGTAATCGCTCATTGTGAAACTCTCTGTGTTTGAACATCAGGTGTGTGAACTGGACATTATCTTCAACTTTGAGAAAGCTTATTACATTCTGGATGAGTTCATACTGGGTGGTGAAGCCCAGGAGACATCGAAGAAGAACGTGCTGAAGGCCATAGAGCAGGCTGACATGCTGCAGGAGGTGAGGAACACACGTACTCTGTGTATATGAAGTGAAAATTTGTCCATTTTTAAGTTTTTGAATGAGTTTTCTCTGATTCTCACCTCTAACAGGAAGCCGAGACACCACGTAGCGTTCTGGAGGAGATTGGGCTGACATAAATGAGGAGAATTCATCCTACCCAAACACTTACACACATCTTCCTTTCTTTTTTTTTTCTGTGGGCATTTCTCTACATTTGTATTTTAGGTTAGCTTGCAGGCAAAAGTAGTGTTTGAAATGATCAGCACTTTGTATTTCTGCCAAACATCCAAGGGAATCCAGCACATTGTGGTCATCTTAGTTATGCAAATTTCCCATAGTGCTCGGCTGTTTGGATTCAGGTTTGGATCAGTACATGTGTAGCAAAGTTTAGTGTCAGCATCCCCACACTTCTCTGTAGATTTGAAGCATTACCTCTCACCTTCAGCTGCCTTAAAACACTCATTTCCAACTCACACAGTTTGCCAGTATCTTATGCAACTTCTCAGTAGATTCAAGTCAATGGGTTCAAGACCAAGACTTTCTGAAGCGTTACGGACCCAACACTCTTATTCAGCTCCAAAGGGGGGAAACAGATAATGTAACATCAACATTCAGAATTCATAGATTGTATTAATTAAGGCACAAGTAAGCATCAGTATTAGTCAATTCTTGACCAGAATCACTGTAAACAGTTCATTGGTTCAGGCATAACAGGCATTTGCCATTCAACAGCTAAACATTTTATTTCCAATGCCAAAGAATCTTCTTCACCATCCTCATGCCTTTTTTCCTTAAAAAGCATCTTTGTATGCTTTCGTATTGGACTTTGATTTTCTGACTTCCTCTTGAAAATGTCTTTTGAAGCTTCATCGAAACTATAAATAAATAAAAGTCAGATATTGCAATATGATGTGCAAATCTTTGATGATCTTTTGCTAATGACAATATAATTTGGTATGTATTCTCATCATGAAATGGAAATTAACCCTAAATGCATCTTAAAGGGATAGTTCACCCAAAAATCAAGTTCCGTTTGTTCCAAACCTCTAGGCATTACTTTTTTTAGAAGACATTATTAAGAAAGCTAGTAACCAAACAGTTCCTATTCCCCTTTGACTTCCATAGTATTTTTCCTTACTATGGAAGTTAATGAGGATCAACAATTGTTGGTTACCAGCATTATTAAAAATATCTGCTTTTATGTTCAACTGAAGAAAGAAATTCAACTTGAGGCTGAGTAAATGACAGAATTTATATTTTTGGGTGAACTATCCTTATTGTGAACAATTAATGAATGCAAACATTTCATTTTAAATTTACTTTTTGAGCTCATACTTTTTAATAAAAAAGTCAAGATGTATTTCTGGTAATGTATGCAAGACTTCTCCAATCATTTCTGCATTAAACTCTGCTCTTTTTTTAATACTCAACATCTACTGCGACTTGTGGAATCCATAACTGATGGACAGAACCAAGTCCACACTACATTTTTTTTCTTTGTCAATAATCTGATGAACATCACAAGATGGAAGTAAATATCTGCTGCTACTTACGTTATGTTGCGGCGTTAACGCTCACCCACATAATGTCTTTGACCATCTCAGTGAAAAAGAACAAAATATAATTTCTATAATCAACACTTTTCACAAGGTTTTAGAAAACACTAGATTTAATTACAAATGTACAGGCAATGTATTCATCAGCAAAATCAGGCAAACTAGGCATTTTGTCATGCAAACTAAAATAACAACAACTGCTTTCTGACAACAGAAACACAGTTTATGTATTTTTATGTATCTATCCAGACTGTGTGGTGCTGTCAGATTTGGTAGCATCTAGCGCACAATGGATTTCCTCTTCCGGATGACAACCCTCCAAATTTGTGGTCTGTACTTCATCTACTGGCGAACCTGTGCTGGAAGCCACCACTGTACGTTCTTCGGCAGGAGTTTCTGATTTAGACGGCATCTCATTACACTCCTCATTCCGTGAGCCTTCGTCAGACTCCGAGCTTGAGCTGCGTGATTTACTCTTCTTTCGTTTGTGTTTCTTTTTGCCCTTTTTCTTCTTCTTGCTCTTTTTAGAGTGCTTGTGGTGATGTGCATCCATTCGGTCAGAGTTTTCTGGGCTTTGGCTTTCCCTCCTGTGACTCCTCCGTTTCACTGACCCATTTTTGGACACATGTTCTGGGCTGTTTGATTTTGGCATCTGTCTTCTCGAGTCTGCTGATGTACGTTCGCCTTGCTTTAACCGGTCTCTGCTATGGGATCGGCTCCTGCTTCTTCTGGATTGCTCTCTCTGAGACGCTGATCTTCTTGTCATTGATTGCTCTGACATCCTTCTCTCTCTGCTTCTGCTACGACTCCGCTTTTCCCTGTTTTGACTGTGTTTCCCTCTGCTGCGACTCCGCCTCTCTCGACTAAGACTCTGCCTCTCCTGGCTACGGCCCCGCCTCTCTTTGCTGCGACTCCGCCTCTCCCGGCTACGATTTAGACGGCATCTCATCACACTCCTCATTCCGTGAGCCTTCGTCAGACTCCGAGCTTGAGCTGCGTGATTTACTCTTCTTTCGTTTGTGTTTCTTTTTGCCCTTTTTCTTCTTGCTCTTTTTAGAGTGCTTGTGGTGATGTGCATCCATTCGGTCAGAGTTTTCTGGGCTTTGGCTTTCCCTCCTGTGACTCCTCCGTTTCACTGACCCATTTTTGGACACATGTTCTGGGCTGTTTGATTTTGGCATCTGTCTTCTCGAGTCTGCTGATGTACGTTCGCCTTGCTTTAACCGGTCTCTGCTATGGGATCGGCTCCTGCTTCTTCTGGATTGCTCTCTCTGAGACGCTGATCTTCTTGTCATTGATTGCTCTGACATCCTTCTCTCTCTGCTTCTGCTACGACTCCGCTTTTCCCTGTTTTGACTGTGTTTCCCTCTGCTGCGACTCCGCCTCTCTCGACTAAGACTCTGCCTCTCCTGGCTACGGCCCCGCCTCTCTTTGCTGCGACTCCGCCTCTCCCGGCTACGACTCCGTCTTCCCCTGTAACTGTACCGCTCACGGCTGTGGCTCCTTCGATCTGTCCTCCAGCGCTGGGATAAACGCACAGGACTATTTCCACGCTGGAACCACACTCCATCTCTGCTGCCCAGATGGCGACTAGAAAAGCCTCCACTGCGATCAGGGGACATATGAAGATCGCGGTCCGCCTCCCAGAATTCATTGTCTGGGTTCCTGAACACATGAAGGAAGTTGCAGTGTTTCCCCTTAGGACATTTCCGCCTGTCGAAAAGACCTGAGAACGTAAGAAAAAGAATACAACCGTATAAGTCATATATAAAGAAAGGCCAAAAATAGTGATAAAATGAAGAAACTAATACTATTTAAAGATTGAGAAATATAGTTTTTTATTTGGACTGATGTTTTCCTTACCACATATGGCTGTTTTCCATCTAGTTACTGCGGAGAATTCACATTGCAGTTGTCTTCCAGCGTACCAGCGGCCATTAAACATCATGAACGCTTCTCTACATTGCTCCTCTCTGCAGGCATATAAACAGAGATATCAAAATAAAATACAACGATTGTAATTTCTCCTCTGCGGAAATGTTTCTAATATAATAATACTGGACTTACGTGTCATACTGAACGTAAACGTTCCCTCTCAAGTGAGGTTCAAAGTTGCAGCTTACCTATTAAAATATGGGAAAATAATGATTGTTAATTAAATTTTTGTTTATTTATGAATTTGATTTCAACAAACATTTAGAAACTATATTACCTTTATTTAATTTAATATAACCTAAATTCATTTAAATCATTTAATGTTTTAAAAAATGAAATTTAAACCAGTGTTATTTTAGTATCATTGAGATGCTTTTATTTCGAATCAGTTCTTTTACTAAAATTTTTGTTAAAGTTTCAGTAATTTAGTTTTTTGTCTATGTCTATATAGCATTTATTACATTTTATTTCAGTTTTAATTGTAGTTATTTTACACCAATTTAGTTATTGTACATCAAGTTAAACTATGTGAAAATGTTGCCTTGGCAACTAGCTGAAATAAAGTTTTTTTTATTTATTTATATATTTTATTTCAGTTAATGTTTATTTTATTTCAAGTATCAAACCTTTTTTTTTGGGATGGTTTTAATTTTAGTTTCAGTTTTAGTTAGCTATGATAACACTGATTTAAACATTACATTTTATTTTTATTTATTGTTTCCATTATGTTGATGATTTTTAGGTCTTTCATTTAAATTACCTTGAACTGCACCACCCTCCCTGCATTCTTGAACTCTGGCAGAGCGTCTTCATAGAAATCCAGGAACTGCTGGTGCATTTCCTCCTCGCTGTACTCAAGACTGGCATCAGTGTCGTAGTCATCACGTCTGCTCTGCTCCATCCCGAATGTCACAAACATCCCCCTCACCATCAGAGTGGTGCTGGATGTAGGGTGCTCATGCTTTCGGGAGCACCTGTTAAAAAAAAATCATTAAAAACAAAAACCTGACCAGAAATTTCAAAAACCCTGTCAAAACCCTGTGACAAACTCATTGGAAGCAGCAGCTTAATAAATACGTACCGGTCTCCAAACCTACAAGCACCCGTTTTAAGGAAGAAGGGGCAGTTTGCCTTGTCCTTTTCAGTTCCAAAATCCTTTGGGGCATCAGGGTTTTTCCAAGGACCACCGTTTTCCAGCTAATTGCAACAAAATAATGGAGACTTTTCATGATTTCATCATTATCGAAAACTGCATTTTACAACTTACATTCGACATGGAAAGCAAGATGTTACCTGACTCTCTGCTTGATCCAGCATTTTCTGTACAGCTTCCTATAAATGGTGCAAACATACACAGTATGGCGGGTGAAATTCTGTGGTGTGCAAGCACATGTCTGTTAGAATTAGTTAAGACAATCTGTCATATAATGTGTACATTATAGACTAAAGTTATCGGTATTTTGTAATTCAAATCTGACTGTTTATAGCAGGGGTTCTCAAACTTTTTGGGGCCTTACAGAGGAGAAAATGTTCCTAGGACACCCTCATAATTATAACAGTGATTAAGCACATGCATGGTTAAATTAAAATAGCATGTCTAATTAATTGAGAGCACAAACATATACAATTTAACAACAATTTATTAAAAGCTTAACAAAAGTTGTATAATTAGGGCCCTATGAAATCTTTTCGATTTTTTTCTCAATTTCCATCTTAATGTTTTAATAAAATTTTACTAATCTAAAAGCATGTCTAATCTAATAAATTAGTAAAATGTTAACAACTTAATATTACAATAATATGAAATGTATTATTTATTTATTTATTTTATTTATTAACTTCTATGTTGTCTGCTTTAATATTTCTGGATTTGTGATTTCATACAAATTTATTAAAAACTGTGGCAATCAAATGAAGGCATTAAGAAAACGTAATATTTTCAAATGCAAT